ACATATTAGAAATAACAAATGCTCATTTTATAAGGCATAAATGAGCCACTAATTGACAAGAGCTAAAAAGAAAAACTCCCCTTGTTGGCTGGTTATTCGGCTGTAGATTCTGCTGCTCTGCTCTGTGAAGCATCTGGTACTGGCCATTACCAGAGATCAAATACAGGACCAGATGGTCCGTTGGTTGACTCATTATAATGGTATGACTGCTGAAATGTAAAAGCTCTTCACAGAACCAGAAGGAGACCATTTACCTCTGAATGCCTCTTAAAAAAAAAAAAAAAAAAAAAAAAAGCAAAAAAAAAAAGAGGACTTCCCATACCTCTGTGAATCCAAGGGAATAGCAATCCAACTTACCCCAGTGACACTTGCATAAGAAGTCAAATTACTTAAGAACTTTCCTCACTGTGGAAGACCTGGCCTCAGCAAGCCTTTTGACTTCAGAGTTTATATCATCACTAAATCAGGGACTCGAGGTGATTTGGGGAGCTCAAGCTGAAGCAGCAACTCAGTGGTGTAACCTGGCAGGACGTTACCGTATCACCTCGTTAGGATTGTGCTGGATCCCTGCATGCTAATTAGAGTGTCTGTGATATAAAACAGGAAAACAATTGCATCCTGTGGAATTATTTTGCACCAGAGGACTAAAGGACTAGTAGGAGTTCGGTAATTGAAGCAATCATATCCAAGAGGAAAAAAATATCCAAGATAGAAAAAAAAACAAACAACATCATTTTGAAGAAGGGAAGTAGGGGAGACTCAGCAGCGCCAAATATTTTATTCTGCTTTCCCACTGCCAGTTTTCAGGGCCTTTCTGACATCCTAGGCATGAACGCATGTTTCTAATTTTAATTCTCCTTAAAATTACTGTGAAAATGAATGTTAGGGTTCTGATAGAAGCACTGTAGTTGACATGAAGTAATTCAGTACTTGTCCTTGTTTTGCCATAATCAGTCTCTAGAACAGCATCTCTTCCCCTGTTTCCATCTCTGTAAAGGTAGATCTCAAAGTGCCCGCTACTGAACACGCCATTCACCTTAGCAGCAGTGGAGTACGAACACAAATAGAACTGTGCTTCTGCATACAGGATTTTCAATATATTTCTTTTTCATATTCTCCATTTTTTACCCCTTTCAAGCTTCTACCAAAAACTTTTTGTACTTTGGTTACTGTTTTCTAAATTAAAATACCATGAGTTTTAAAATAGAATAGTTGAGTTAGCTATTACGTAGCCACAGCAAGTATCTGGAAAGATGCTTTGAGAAGAAAAACAAATGCAGACTTTTCTTCCTTGGGTTCAGGAACAGGATACATGGTTCCTCGGTTATCACAGTGATTTATAAAGGAGAGCTGCTGTCTAACATCATAAACCTTCAATATGCCAAACCTACATAACCACTGGTTTGCATCTTAAAATATCTTCAAGCAAGAGCCAAGAACTTACCACCGCTTTTTCCCTTATTTCCTCCTACTATCTTTATGAGTCCCCTCTGAGACCATTTTGTGTACAAAAGGAGCCTCAAGCTAAACTGAAAAACTGATTCTCCATAAAAGAAAAAGGATCCACAAAAATCTCACTCTAACAACACGAAAGAGAGAGAGGGAACAAGCTATTACATTACACATTAACAACAATACACTTAAATTAAATATCAACATCATGTAGAAAATTCAAAGTCTTCAGCAGTTGTTTTATTTTCCTTCTGTGAAAGGAGAAGCTTTTCTGAATAGCAATAGAATTATTTAAAAAAAAAAAAAAAAAAAAAAAAAAAAGAGGAAACGAGACAGGAGCTGTGAGGCACACCAGCCTTCTTGGAAAGCTGCTGTGATCACATGGAAGGGCTGGGGCTGGGCCAGCTGTACCGCGATGCATCCTATTTTCTTTCAGCAACAAAGAGGAAATGTACATATGAGGACACTCACACAAACCTAACCCCTCCTCAGTCCAAATTCAGACATCTAGTTTTCCACAAGAGCCAAGAAAAGACTTAACAGAACACACAGAAAATTGCATTTACTCTGAGATTTTTCCTACGGGTTCTCCTTTCCATGTTTGCTCACTTACTGGTTGTTCCAGTTTTCAAGCACAACCCTGACCAATTTGTGGAGCTTAGGGCAGACAAAAGTGATTGATGCAGTGAAATATAAAATAACATGTCTTAAAAACTGCTAGTACCCTAGATGGAAATGTTATCAAACTACTTCATGCTGGATTCTGTCTCAGTGCATCACATTTCATTCTCAGAAGACATGAAAGAGAGATTGAGTATTAAAAAAACTCTTTAGAAAAGTCTTTACTGCATTCGTTAATTATGGCTTCTCCAATAGACCAGGGGAAGTATAACAATTTCTATTTCCTGTGGGGTGGCAGGAGGCTATTTGGAAATCTATGGCCAAATACGATTTTCCCACTACATGAAAAATCCCAAGAGCTATAGTCAGGACCAACAAAGAATTCAGGTCCTATTCCTTTGATGGAAAATTGAAACAGTACAAAGAAACAGTGAAAAATGGCTAACATCTGCTTTTTTTTCTGGGCAGCCTCTTGAAAGGAGACAGAATTCTGCTTTTCTTCTTCATAGCCTGCTTGCCACTTGGGACTTGGTGCCAGTCAAGTGGCCAGTAGTCTGAGTGGATCTTTCAACCAATGATCCTGGCTTTTGCTTTATATAAATAGAGGGGAAGCTGCATGAATTCCTGCACTTCACATTCAATATCAGCTCCCAAGGTTCCTTCACTGGTTGCTTAGAAAGCCTAACAGAAAACATATGAAGATACTGGGTACGTTCCCAGTTTCTCAGAGACAATGTCTTAAAAATAAATGAGCTGAGGAGGTGACTCCTTCACCTCCTCAAATTAAGGAAGTTTTCTTTCCCACCCACATCATCACAAAAGTGAGTGTTTTTTCCCAAAGTTTCTGTTTTGCTCCACAGCAAATCCATAGAATTAAAATATCATTTGAAAAATAACATTCCTGGTGTGGCAGTTAAAAAGACCAAAAGGTGTTTATATTCTTAGGAAGATGTGCTTGTTTTCACTGAGAAAATTAGTTCCTTTGTATGTATTATAACATTTGCCACATTCTTGTAAGTATTGTTTTCTGGTGAAGTCATGATCAGCTAATTAAAGATGGTCATAAAACACTGTTTATTCACTCATACTCTTTGTGTTTTCCTATCCAGCTGTGCTTTATGAAGCCTTAACTGGGTATGGCTTTTCTGTTTCTGTCACTAGCAAACAAACAGTTGCCCAAGAAGGCTTAAAAAGGATCTCAGAAAACATTTTCACTGCATTGTTTGTCAGTGAATGCTCACTTGATTAAAAAATAAATATCTCCACCCTTAACCATTTCCTGTTTGACCCTTAGAGCTACAGATTTTCCTATAGGCTTCCAGAGAAACCAGGCTTTGGATTTATCAGAGGCCCAAACTGTAACTCAAAATGGCCCTCTACTTTCAGCGAAGCAGGTTTTCCCCCTTTCTTACACCTAAGGAACTGCGCTGAGCAGTATGGCCCTTTGTCAGGAAGCCAAAGTGAGAGCCCTTCACAGAAGAGCTTGGGGCATTTTGCACCTGGAGGGGCCTTTTGTTATTCCACATAAATGAAGTCACAGATGCTAGCAAGAGCTTTGACCAAATCAGCTAATGAGCCCTCTGCAGCCAGCCCCGTGCGCCCTCAGCACCAGTTCCCACATCTGGGCATATGAGAACACAAAATAGGCAGCTTTCAAGTCAATGTAGAAAAAGCTTCATAAACAACCAATGTGACAACGGGCATTTCCAAAAGTCCAGAAAGCGCCAGACCAGCAGATCCATTTGGAGCAGAGAAACTTGCCGTGCCAGCCTTCCAACTGCAGTTCACACAAGCATTTTAAAAATGGAATAGCAGAGATACATCTGCTGTTTCAATCATTTGGAGAGGGATCTGAGTGCACAAAGTCTCATGCGCAGAAAACGTACATTTGAGGCGCCTGCTTTTCCATGTGCTCTAGATACAAAAACAGCAGTCACATAGGGAAACCCTGGGAACTTTCACTTGGCTTCCCTTTCACTTGGCTGTATGTTTCTGGAAAATGCCATGCAATTTGGACTGTGACTGTCAAAGGCGGTCAGTTGGATCATCTTGTGAAACTGGGGGTGATAAAACAAAGAGGAAAAGAAGCTAACTGAAGCTTTAAAAAGTAAAATCAGTATACTGCGGGACTGCTTTATATGAAGCTCAGTCAGTCAGAGGAGTGCATTTGAGAGCAAGGAGCTGCACATCAAGTTCTTTCAAAAAAGACTTATGCTTTAATTATTAAAGCAGTGCTATCATACAGAATGCTTATAGGGAATTGCTTAATTTTATGCTTTTTCTTTGGTGATTAGGGACCGCGTTATAAAATATAAATGTGTTATTTTTATTTCTTGAATGCGCCTTGTGAAGGACCCTTACTTTCCACATCTTTTCCATTCTGCCCTCCTTTCTCTGTGTTTTTGTTCATGGTGGCAGGGCTGTGGAGGAGAAGAAGTATTACTTAAATTTTTTAGTGAGGCTTTTCTCAGACCTGTGCCAAACTCATTATTAAAAGGGATCTCTCCTATTTGAGTTCTCGCAGGAGGACTCATAAATAAGAAGCAAAGATTCTATTACCTGCCCTCATACTGGGGGATGCAACAGCCAGAAACGTATAAAACCATATGTAATTTTCAGCTAAACTTCCTAATGGGATGCGTCTGCAAGTGACTGTCATTTCCTTGCAGCCTTTCAGAACCAGGAAATCCATAAGGTATTACGCAAGAAATCTGTGTTCTTGACTTCCCTGATATATAGTATCTTTAAAATAGAGCTTATAGAGCAGAAGTGAGACAACATCGTGGCGCTTTCTCTGCAAAAAAACAGCGTTTCATCATTCACCCATCCTGAGTGATTCTTCCAGATTTGGGCAAAAGCAAGTTGGCTGAGATCATAAAGTCACTAAAACTCTGACGTTACTTAGGAACTGAAGAACCACTTTCGAAAGGGATCTGTGACATGCCTGGACTACAGCATAAACTCAAATAATTGACACTGGGGCCCAGGCATCTGGGCTGGCTTAGCAGCAGATGTTCACAGTCACTTTCTAAAGCCATCTTCATGCTTCTGAGTTCTGGTGTTGCGCTTCTGAGGGAATGCTGCTGAATTTCTGAAGACGTCTCCTGCATGTTGTAAAGCTCAGCTGCTCTCTGCTTAGCCCCCAGGCTGTCCTTGTGGGGACGTGGCAGGGAAGGGAGGATTTGAAGGAGGTGACTAGAGGAGCGTTAATTCTTGTTGGTTTAATATGCCTCAGTACTACAAAGGGAGGACGCACAAACAGGAGCAGAACCAAGGTAAGCCGGTGAGACAATATTAATACCTGCTGCTGACATGTACCTCAAGACATGAGTGGGAATGGGGGAAGCAAGACTAAAAAGAGGGCTCTGCTAAGACTGTGGTGAGCGCTTATCCCTAAGGATTTCTATCTTATTGTAAATCAAAACAGTTTGGCTGCCTGATCCTCTGAAACAATGTCTCCAATTACTCTAAATTCCTCTGAAATTTAGGAGGGCTGGAAATGCTGTTCATTTGTTTGAGAAGATACAGCTGTTAGGGGTATCAGAAGGGTAAAAAATGAGGAGCTAGAGCTAACTGCCTCTAGAATTTTCCTTCAAATCAGAAACAGGGAGAGATGCATATTTCCATCTTAACTATCTTTTTTATTTATACATATATTCCATGGTAGTAATTTCATAGTATCTCACTCCTGGATGAGAGAGCAGGGGAACTGAATCTACTCAGATGGCAAAGATTTCTGACCTGTTGACAGCTTGTTTCCTTCTCCATCGCTGTTATCACCATCAGGGGGATCATCAAGACAAAGATGCTCATACTATAAAAAAAAAAATGCCACTTCTGTAACGCATCAGTCATGAAACTATTTCAAAGGAAGTTCACAATTAAGAAATTAAAAGTGTCTTAAAGGAAATGACATTAAATGGAGAAGACAGGCAAAAAGATGAGGTACAGATCCATTGTGATTATGAACACGGAAAAAAACCATTACTGTTACGGACAACAGTGCAGAAACCTGTGGTTTACAAAAACAACTGGATTTCTACTGAAAGTTACCAAAAATCAGGCCCAGCCATGCAGGCATGTCAGTTTACAAATGAACACAGCTGCTGCTGATTAGAAAAGCATCCAGCTAGCCATGTGCACTTCTGTGCTTAAAGTGGTGGGCAGTGCTCAGAAGACATCACATGCTATCAAAAGCAGAGAGTAAATTTAAAAAAAAAAAAAAAAAAAAAAAAAAAGATTAAAACTTAAAACTAATAAAAAGATGCATTTAAGACCGCACATCCCTATTAAAAGTTATTTAATTACAACTAGAGGCACAGTTCCTCCATGTGACAGGACAGATACGTTTTGACAGCGCAGTGTTTAGAGGAGAAATAAAATATGCAGCCACATACAAGTTACTCGCTAGACTGCACATTTCTGTGCGCACAACAAGGACAAGGAGAACCCCCTTGGGTGACTGTATAATGTAACTTTGCCACTCCATAGCTGGATTCATTACTCTGCACAGTATTCAGCAAAAATGAAATAGCCTCTGTCAGCACTGGAGACAGCGTGATTTCATAACAAACTTACTTTGGAACAAGTATGCGCTTGTTACAGAACTTTTGAGCCTACTAACTCCTCTGAGCCTGAAATAATGTCTCTGTACTCGAACAAGTCAGCAAAGCGTAAGGTGGCAAAAAGCTGAACTTAAATATTTGGAGTATTTTGGACATGCTCATAGGAAAAATTTGGATAAAGGATAGTTGTGACTCTTTTAATCACAGAGGAAAACTATTGTCTCTCAGGACACATCAGATTATATACAAGAGCCTAAACGGATTCTTTACCTCCAAAGACCTCAGGAGCATTTCCACATGTCAAGAAGCAGGGAGATAACATAAAAAGACCAGGTTTTATGCCTCAAGAAGGAAAGGGTACTTTCACACTGGCAGTTTAAGTATAAAAGTCACTACCGTGAGAAGCTGCGGATGCCAAACTAAAATGAGGTGCATAAAGAAACTAGACAAATTCATGGGGCAAAAAGTGAATTAGTAACTATTAAGCAGTAACTTTGGATTTTGATGAGTTGCATCTGTGGGAAGAGGATCTCCTTACTTCTCTTGAGATTTTCTCAGTTTCTCTGCTCTTACCTGCCTTGTTATCCTACCTTCCAAATCTCCCCAGCAACTGTTTGAAGCAAAACAATTTCCCTTTACCCTGTCCCAAAATTTCTACCTGATCCACATTTCAATTAAAAAATTCACAACAACTACAAACAGAACAGAAAAGCTCAAATTAAATGTATCAAGCATAAAGTTTGCATGGTAAGTTGGCTTCTTACAGGTGTGCTAGGGAAGGGAGCACTGCATCCCTCCCTTCTCCCTCTTTATACCTTCTAACAGCATCCAATACCAAACGGTTTTCAGTGGCAGATGATTGCTGCAGGATGGATCAAGAAAAATAAATAACAAGTGCCATCACTTTCTCTAAAATACCCACTGTATCAGTTTCCTTGTAAGTTTATCTTTTGCTTTTTTTTTTTTTTTTTTTTTCAGCCACCTAGAACGTGCAGCTTACAGTGACCCCTGACTGAAAGAGACTGTCAAAATCCCAGTCCTTATCTCTTCTAAATGGACACAGCATCACACAGAGGTTGTTTTCCTGTCATATTCGGTCCTTCACTGAGGCTTCAATCATCTTGTGTTGTGGTACTCAGCTGTCATTGCTCCATTTCAGTGTGCCTGCCTTTGAGAGCTGCTGTACCAGACAGTGTGTTACTTGGTGCAGTCCTTTGAGGGCCTGTGGAATAGCCAGTGTGACATAAGAGCACATTTAATAAATGCATTTGAATTTAACTTAGCTATGCTGAGGATGATTTCAGATTCCACTCCTCAGCCCACTCCATTCAGCTGTGTAGGAAGTATTAGCTGCTTAAAATTGTTCAGTATTGCTATGGCAACCCTCACTCTCCAGCAGCCTCTTACCAGACTACACAGAAATGCATTCATTTTTCAGGCAGGCTGTGCATCACTCCAGATCTGGGGCTTTCTCCCTAATGAAACACACATCTAATCCCAATTCCTTCTAATTTGCCTCATGAGCACATACCAGTTTACTCTGTGAAATTTGTTTCATTACCTGCCCTACTGTACAAGGCCAGATCCCATAGATATACATACAAATCAGCTGGTTTAAGAGCAGTTAAAGACTGAGACCGGAACTATGTGGCTTCACATACGTGATTCAGAGGTTCCTACATCAGACCTCACTGTCACTGAAAGTCATTTCCTTCTTCTTCACAAACTTGGGGCGAGGGGGAGGGAGATTAAAGGAAAGAAGGAATATCACACGCTGTGTTTATCAGTCACAGAAGGAGCACTGGAAGACGAAACTGCAGAGTATCACGATGACTCTGTCTTGCAACATTCACAGACAGCAGCACACTACGTGCCCTTCCAATATTTGGATATATGCTGTATGTGAACCCCGGCACTAAAATATGGTGTCCCCAGAATTGCCCAATAGATAAACATAACAGACCATGAAGTAGCTCTTAAGAAGTCAGCAGATGGTTTCTTGAACTGGCAGGCCCAAGCCTTAGCTGTAGCAACCCAAGATCTTGATGGCTTATGGTAATGCCTGAATGTTTCTATGAGCCAAAATTCACCTCTGCTACATCTGTGCCATTGCATCAAGCGCCGTCACAAATCAACAAATACAAAACTCTACAACTTACGGATTTATTTTCCATAAAGAGCGTCAAAATACATAAAAAAGAACTTGTGAAGACTCTTCTCCTAAGCATCTTCCATGTTAATGAGGAAAAACAACAAAAGACAGAACATCATCTTTCTTACCAAGGAGGAAAAAGAAAAGTTATTTGCCAGGCACAGAAAAATGAGACTGTGCCCCCAGCAGAACCATAATCATCTCTCTGAGGAGTAGGCTCAAGGATTGCTACTAGTCTGAGAAGGTGTTACAGCTGAAAAGATTATCACAGTGAAAATGGGAAAAGAAACAAACGGGTAAGGAATGCTCACCTGTATCTGAAGATCTCTGAATGCAGGAAAGACTCCACAGGGAAGGGATCTCCAGAAAGAGAACCTTCCCCAGTGCCAGTCAGCCCTTAAATGGGGTCTGGGAGATTACACAGGAGAATTACTTTCACCTGTGCTCCCATAGCTGACTCAGTCCTTTCCTCAGGTGATCAGTCAGTGGTTCAAGGCTATGACTCAACAGGTCCCATACAGGAGGAAAGGAGTATCCAATTGTCCACTGACTGCAGCCCCATTGCTTGGGACTTCATATACGCAATGAATTACAAGCTCTTATTCTCAATGCACTGTTTGAGTTCTCATCCCCACCACTGAAAATTTCCCTGAGTTTTCTTTCAATAACCACAACATAACACAAATGTTATTGTAGCTTCTCCTCAAAGGGTAATGGCATACTCGGCCCATCACAGGGTTAGCAATTACAGCTTCCTCCCTCGCAGCTGGAAATGTTTCTGCAGCTGTCTGAACTCTGAGCCAGCTCAGAACAAGAAAGTAGAGGCTAAAAAGCAAGACAAAAATTGTTATTTGCCTATGCCATGGAGAAACAGTCATCAATGAGCGTAGGCAGATGTGAGAATGTACTGACTAGCTCATCCACTACCAGAGAATTCTGCATCAGCAAAAAATCCTCGACTGATATTGTAAGTGATGGAACAAGCTGTTTAAAAAGACATCATCAGAATAGTTCTCAGAGATGGGGATAAAGTTTAACAGTTTTTCCCAGATCAGATTTTGAAAATGCATGTGAAAAACTACTGCATCCAGGGGTCTGTCTTGCTCTGGTGAGCAGATGATTCTCTTCCCAAGCAGAGCTGGCTGTACAATTTATTTCATTTTTCTGCTTCTTGTTCTGTTCATAGTCATCTGAGAGTGATCTAGCTTCAATAATGGGAAAACACTGCAAGAAAAGTGTTTTCTCTTTCAGATGTTTTCATTATTGGCTATTCTGTGACATAAAAAATGTTCACAAGCATGTTTGTGAGAGGATTAGCTATTGCAATAGCCACTTCAATAACGCTTTGCTTTAAAAAAAAATGCCCCTGGACTCATGTTTCAATAAATGACAATTGTGTCCCTCCATACCTTCCTAAATACAAGCACATTTGAAAATCTAACTTATAATATTTTAATATTTTAGTAGCTGCAGTTTAGCACCCCAGGACACCTCTGCCAGCTATATTCCCTGAGCCATGCAGCCTTCGTTTCCACTCTCCTAGGTGGAGACACAAAGAATACCTGTTATCTCACCTGATACACGTGCCTTTGGCAAGCCTGTCACACACAACCACAGTGTGACCAAGTGAGAACTCAGCTGCACTGCAGAGGGAAGGGTTGTACCTTCCTGTCACAGGCTTGAGGCTGCTGTGGTAAGCAGCCTGCAAGGAGCCCGGCTCCTTCGCTCCTGGGAGAATCGTGCTGGAAAATATCGACCAGCAGCAACAGTCAGAAGGGAGCATGATAAGGGTGCAGCAGTACCCTTATTCACTGCTAATCTTTCCAGGCATTGATAATGTAACTAACCCCTTTTCAACATATGGCTGTAAATACTCAGCACGTTTTCACTTGCACCTCATCAGTTGTAGTCACATCTTCCAGTGCCTTTCCTACAGGCTGGTTGGGTTAGATCAGAAGCAATTATTGGAATTTATGACATGAATTCACTCACCAGTGAGTGTGTACTGAACAACACTGCAGGTTACACCACCGAGGCAGCCAAGGCATCCTGAACCCTGCCTAATGATATGCATCCCTGTTCACATTTCTCCAGTGAATGCACCCATTTTGAGTCTGACAAAATAAAATGGGACAATAATTTGGCACTGGGCTTACTGGAGGAGGATAGAAATTGCATCAGTCACAGGAAGTACTGAAGGAGAGACTGCCTCCCACTCAGAGCAAGTGATCTGATTCACATTACCAAGAAGGATGCATTTATTTCTTTTTGAACTGCAAAGATGCAGACCATGTTGTCCCCTCCCCCTATTTGAGTGATGTGAGGAGTTTATTACTGCACAGTGAGTTTTGCTGCTCTGATTTATTGGAGACGCAAGAACAGACAGGCAGACTCAAGATAGGAAATAGCACGTATCACCCACTCTTGAGTTTCCTCTCTGCAGCTCCAGTAAGTGTGTTTTTTGGCATGCACACTGGAAAAAAATATTTTCCATTAATCTGGACTAATGCGTTAGCCCAGTGCTCTGCCTTCCAAGAACTGTGAGATCCAAAACATGTTTTATTTAGTCTAAATAGAGCTCCTATGATCTGCAGTACTTCCTGGATATTTGTATATGAGTGTCATTCTATAGAAACAGGTACAGACATGTGGCTTGCATTTTCCTTTAGCTAATTATTTTTTCAGAGATTCAGCACTAGAAGTGATCAGAAAAACACTGACTGAACTATGCTCTGTTGGGAAATGCAAGTGTCTTCAAATGGGGGAAAAAGTATTAAATTCATCACAGAAATTTGCATCAAAACCTTCATTCTGATCCAGCAAGGGATCAGACACATTCTCTGACCTGTGTTTCCAAAGGAAACAATTTGCATATCAAATACTTGCAACTGCTAAAATGCTTGTGAGCAAGAAGCTGCAAATTATTCACAGAAGTTATTCAGCTAGCAAGTGTGAATGAAGACGTTGCGCAGTCCTGTGATGTGATGGCATGCCACTTGAGAGCCAAAAGAGCAGTGAAAATCTTTGCTAATTATTATCCCCGCCTATGAACTTGGACTAAAGGAATGCACTGAGATTTGAATGCATCCCTCTCTCTTTTTGTTAGCTGAATATTGCCATAAGATGTATTTTCCTCTTCAGAGTTTTAGCCAGGTCCCACAGCATGCTTTTAGACTGCACATGAAACACAGCATGAAATAATCTGTCACCTTTCTTTAACAGGCCATTATTTGCAGTCTTCCCGGGCAGCTTTGAATCAGATCTGCCACTCCTGGCAAGCCAAAATGTTAATATCCCTTTGATATTCAACTGCATTTTTGCCAAGCTGGATGAAATAACTTCTACCCGATAACAACCGTCTGCTGAGTATTAGGGTGTCCACATAAAACAGGAAAAAAGCCATAGCTGGAGAAATTCCAGGCAATCACTATTTCTAAATGAAAATAATAATAATAATAATTAAATACTGCACTTTTAATTTATGCATTTTAATTTGTCTGACAAAAAAAAAAAGCCCATCAACTCTTGAAGTACGCGGGGGAAAAAAAGGACTACAGATGTAACCACTAAAACATAGCAGAAAACTGGGAAGAAGAAAAAATGATGCTGCATTTTAGAAACAATAAGTAAAGCAGGAATGGCAAATCCACTCACCTCCACACAAAAAATATGGATATTCTCATTAGCCAGATTGAGTTTACTTGAAAAAGAAAGAGTCATTCCCTGGGAAGACACACAAAAAAATCTTTTAACATTTGAATACAAAAGAAACACAAGCTGACATTTTTCCTTATAACATAGCAGGGTTTTACTTGCAGCTTTTTACAAGCATTTTTTATTAAGACCCATGCAGGTTTGAATCACTAAACGTCTGCGTATTTTTTTTTTCTTTTCTAACTCCTTATGGAGGAAAAGTTCTGGCAATCCAGCCCTGCTGATTTGCTTTACATGAGGAGAAACAAAATACTTCTCTAAGAAAGCAAGCCTGGTTCCCAGCAAGCCCATCTACAAAGCACTCTGAATTTATAATAACAAAGAAATGACATAAGATCTCAAGAATGTTATCTTTTTTTTTTTTTTTTTTTAAGTCCAACTGTGGATAGGTAGAAGTTGCCAAATACAGTAT